CTCCATACTACTGATCTGATTTATTTGTTAAATGCAGATGTAGTGAGATTCGAAGATTTCTTGTTTTTTGTTGTTGTTTATCTGTTGTTCCAGATAATAAAACAAAGATTTGGTCAATACTAAATGATTTAAAAAACAAAAAAAGTCATCTTTTTAGGGACGAAAGCAAGCCTACCAACCCTGACCTTCTGTAAATAGTGAAGATCTCCTAAAGCGGTTATAAAACTGTTGGTTTCATCTTTAGCAGCTGATTGCTGGTGATTTAGCTGTAGAGGAAAGCTGGGCCTCTCTGCAGTAAGTTAGTTCTGAATGTCGTCACATTGGAAGGTTTTCAGTTCTTTATGGTATGAGAAGTCCAGAAAGATGCATAATAGAATGTTTCTCTTCAGTAGGACGTTTCCTGCTCATCCTTTGACAAACTCTCAGGTCCATGATGTAGGAAACATGTTTCAGATAGCATTCATTCACTGCTTCTCAATCTTAGACTTCAAATGCTCCTTGTTTCCTGAACTAGCAGATCTAGTTCAAGACATATTGGTTAAATATAGCAGACAGACAAGCTGACAAAATGTACAATAAAGTAATGGTTCTAGACATAGATTTAAATTCACAGGGTTTGATATAAAAAAATAAAACAAATACAGAGATAACCTCCATAATTGCCTTGTAATGTCATGGCAATCCAGACCTAAATTGAATGAATATGCTAACTAAAATGTTGAAATATTTCAAGGAAACATAAAAAATGTTTTAATGACAATTAGGAAACATTTATATCATATTTAAATAGATAGAAATGAGAACAATGAGGGAGAAATATTCAAAGATCTATGTACCTTTTCACCTCGGTCTTTGTCGAAAAATAAACAGTATCCAATGAAATATTTGGTTTGGATACAATTTAGGGATTCCTTTTGGTAGAAGTTAAAGGTTTGCATCACCTCTTGTAAACTGGCAGAAATAAAATCTTAATGGTTAGACTAAAAGATTTTTTTATGCTTGGAAGAGGATGATCAGTCACATATAGTTTATTCAGTAGTGATGGAAGAGCCATACTGCTGAGTGAACCAGTGTGGCGCATAAAGCACAGACTCAGAGCTTTGCGTGCTCAGAGACGCATTTCTGCACAAAAACAGCTGGAAGATCAGAGTTTGTGAGATTTCAGCGTGCGCAGCACTGACAAACCGGGTTCTCCCCTGCCGCTGCTGCCATGATCCATCTGTGGTCATGCAGAACATGTAGCGCTGCACGGCAGGTGGAGTGCGTCACCAAACAGGCCGCAGGAGTACAACCGATACTGCTTAGCTTTACCAACAGATTACAATGGTGTATTTTATTGTCCGACCAACCGCTAATTTCTATTTAGTCTCGCTGACGAAAACTCAAACCTATGACTAGTCATTTTTTAGTCATCAAAGATCCATGTTAAGCTCATCAGTTTTAGTTATCGTCATAAAAAAAAGGAGCATAAATAAAATTATTTCATCATCGTCAACCAAAACAACACTGTCCACACAGCATGCCACCTCGAAAGTGGTGAAAGATGAGAAGTTGATCATGGCAATGCGTGTGTCAGATTTTTGGAGACACTATATTGTTAAAAAAGTACATCTTTAACTATTTTTTGCAGCAGAAACACGGTAACAAATTAGCAAAAAAAAGTATTTTTAACTTTATCAATATCTTAAGAAGACGAAATTACATGTGATTTTGCAAACATAGAAAAGTAAACCTTTTCTTTAAAATTCTTCAGGTAGCACAATAATCATGAATGCCTTTGGCAGAATTCAAATTAGCAATTTTAATCTAGATTAATTCCTAGATTACAGTGAGATTAATCTAGATTTAAGAAATTAATCTATGCCCACCAGAAAAAAACCCAGTAAAATGAAACAATCTTCTTCTGTGTCTGATGACTTTGGAGGTAGCAGATTAATAAGCTACGTCATTGGTTCATCTTGTAGATGAAATCCTACATCAGAGAACCATAAATATGTCTCAACAGGTCATTTCTGTTTTGATGCGGGACAACAACTTCTAGCCTAGTTAGCTCTCATGTTTAAAGGAACCTCAAACCACTGGAAAGCGCCACTAAGGGTCACATGACTCATTCAGCGATGGATCAGACCATCTTTAGTTACATAGGGGAGTTTCCGAGTTCACACAGAGCATGGATACAGACCAAATGCAGAAAAGCATGATGGTTTGTCTGAACTTTGACTAGACCAGTAATTTCTCTTTGATTAAGTCAATCTACTGTATCTCCTATAAATGGCTTCTATTCTGCTTTTTTATTTTTAGTTTATCCAGGTTAAAACTTGCAGTGTGTTTTCATGTGTTTTGAATGGGAAGATATTACTGACATCCACAGGGGGCGCTGAAGAGCTGAGCAGAGGAGGCCATCTGGGTCAGAGCAGGGAGTAATATCATCGTCTCCATCTGACACAAAGAACAAGATATCATCTCCAGGTTTAGTTTTTTTTTTTTTTAACACACAAAAGGGTTGAAAGTAAGAAGTAAATCAAAGCTCTTTGAAAGAATGAAAAGAACAGAAGAAAAAAAGACACCCAGAAATCAATGAGCTCTACTTCAGAGGGTTTAAAGGCAAAGGAAAGAAAGCGAAGCTTAATTAACTGAGACCCTGGAGAATCCGATAGACAGACCCTGATTACACTGGAGCGGTGACTCAGGATCCAGCCATCTATTTCAGAGAGCATCAGTGGTTATACATTCAGCTGATGAAGTCTAACAAATACATTTACAGAATCACACTTCTAGATTTTACAGCATTTTTAAACCTTCTGGGTGATTGGCAGTTCCTATTCATTATGCTCCGGAAACCATAAAGCAAACACAATCCTGCCTCCTGATGAAAGAAACAGCAGATTTACTGCGTTATTCTGTACATTGGCTGACAGGTTTAAAATGTGCTGCAAAAAATGAAACAAGCTGCAAACACGTGTGTCATGCAAACTCCAAAGCACAGCAACACAAAAAACAATTGCAACAGAAAAATGCTGCAATAGCTAAAGATGGAAGCAGAAACCTGCAATCAAAAAGACAAATGCAGACAAAAAAATGCAGCAAACACAAAATTCCTCAGAGAATAAAAATGATGCAAACAGCAGCAAACTCACAACACAAAATCAAAGTCCTCCAGACCACAAGAGGGAGTCAAAAGAACAAATATCAGACCAGAATGTTATATATAGAGAAATGATTATAATACTGCTAGACTACTTTTTGCTCCCCATTGATCACTTGACTCCGCCTCCCTGCATCTAATTTGTCGCTCCTGTCGGGTAGCTTCGGCCTACGGCAACAACGTACTGATGTGACAACAAATCCTATAATGCTATGTGAGGAGAGCTCTCCTTGCAAAGCATTATGGGGTATATCTGCTTGTCTAGTGGCCATGGATGATCACTATTTTTAAAGGTGCAATTTGGGAAATTTTGAGTCCACTACTTTTTCATCCATTAGACGATCATACACTCGTTTAAAAAAGGCCTAATCACTACAGAGTGATTAGGCCGGACATTCGGACACAGTCTATGTGTTTGAGAGTGAAATTTAAAATAATAAACATCTCCTTTCTTCCTGGAACTTCCTTGTTAAAAAAGGAAGTTGGAGAAAGGCATAAAAGTTTGACTTCCTGTTTGTATGAAGGGTCTGGTCTGATATGCTTTGTTCCTTTTGAAGAGGTTTCTCTGGTCCTCTTCAGTGAAGGATCAAAGTTGATCATTTAGAAGAGGTCTAAGGAACTCAGGAGGAGTTATTTAAAAGCCTTTATTGGTACATGGCTGATGTGATTTAAAAACATGCCAACACGGTTCAGCCTGAGAGGCCTTCGGCTTTACTTTACTCTTCATAGTTTGCTAATTATTATTTTTTTGTCCTGAGTGCATCAGACCTCTTCTTTGGTTTGTTCCTTGTTTGGCTCCCTCTAGTGTTCTGAGGCACTTCCGTTTAATGTGGGGACTGGTTTGTTTTTTCCCCCCACAATTTGCATCATTTCTCTTTATGATTGCAGTATTCTATTTGTGGCTGCTGCATTTCTGCTTGCATTTGTTCTGTAGATTATAGAACTTTACTGCTTTTTTATCTTTGCTTGTTTTTGTATCTCTGCTTCTGTCTCCTTGAACCCCAGTCGGCCTCGGCAGATGGCCGCTCACACTGAGCCTGGTTCTGCTGGAGGTTTCTTCCTGATAAAAGGGAGTTTTTCCTCTCCACTGTCACTACAAGCATGCTTAGTGTGAGGGATTAGATCAGAGTCAATGAATCTATGCAATCAACTGGTTTTCCTTAGATAGAAAACTTTGAATCAATTTGACTGTATGNTTTCTTCCTGATAAAAGGGAGTTTTTTCTCTCCACTGTCGCTACAAGCATGCTTAGAGTGAGGGATTGCCCTCAGGTCACTGCAATCAACTGGTTTTCCTTAGGTAGGAAAAAGTTGAATCAATTTGACTGTATGATCTGGTGAACTGTAACGTGTCTTGAGATGACGTGTTGTGAATTGGCGCAATAGAAATAAATTGAATTGAATTATTCCTTTGAAATGTTTTTTGTGCCTGTGTGTTCTGTGTTCACAGGTTTTTGCAGCTTGTTTCGTCTTTAACTGCATGTTTGAACCTTCTGTCATCCAAATCAGCCTGTAACGCACCCCGGCATTTCAAATCTATAAATAAATAATTTTACTGTTTCTATGTAACGTACCATGTTCTTAGTTTCAATCAGGGGGTTTTCAATCTGCTTCTGCATTTCTTTGTCTGAGATCTGGACCTCAGGGTCCACAAAGACCAGCTGCCGCCGGCGCCTACCGCTCTGCTTCCTCGGAGGACGATCAGCCACCTGATGGAAGAAAAAAAACAACCTCTAAAGCCTAATGCTGTAAAAATCACACACTGACATGCTTCCTATTGTCTCCTCAAAAAAGTAAAGGCTTCTGTTGCAGTCAGAACCAGTCAGTCAGCATTGCCTCCTGCATCTTGGAATTTCATGTTTTTATTTTTAGACATGTGAGGATTCAGTAGATAGGCTGATTGGGAATCCTGCCTGACCTCCTCACAGAGACTCTCTTCTAGACTCTCCGATGGCATGGCTACACACTCCGGCGTCCTCTCATTGGCTATGGTTGCCAGAGGAACCTCCACAGATCCCCCCGCCTCCTGGTCCAGCATCCACATGCTGTCCTGCTCCGTCCCCAGCATCGTCTCCTTCAGCCTGGAAACAGAAACACACATGAGGAGATGGCTCATATGGACCGACTTCCCTCTTCAGTTTGAACCTGGCTCACTGGAGGTCGCAGGAAGATGCCACTTGATCCCTGGTCCTCTCATTAGCCCCCTCTTCCTCCTCCTCCTCTGTTAAACAGATTTAAAAAAAAAAAAAACAACAGAAAAAAGAAAATTAAAAGCAATATAGTTGCTTCACTTGGTTCATAGGGAGATCAGAGTTTAAAATCAAACAGCTATCTTAAAGCTGATTGGAGCAACTTTAGTTTTATTAAATTATTCCTTCCTTTTAGATGTTTAAAGAAACAAACATGAAAGCACAGATGAGTTTGTTTATGTTGCTGTAACCATACAGAAAGCACCTTTATGTTCCCTAATAAACATTATTGTGCATAGATAAGACCTTAAATTAAGCTCTACTGAGAAAAGGAACCAATGGACGTGAAGTAACGGGGTTAGAGGCTCCGAGATTGCAGGTTTTGGATCCCGATCTATAAAAAGCCTGAAAATTTAGACTGAAATACATTTTTTTAAATTTTTTATAATTCACAGGATCACAAAACACTTTCAAACTTTCACTCGTATCTTCCTGAAAGACATTAATCCGTCCCCAGAAGTGGGGAGTAACTAGTTACATTTGAGTAAATTCTAAAATTAAATGTAATTTTAGGAGTTTTTTCTTTATTATACATTTTATTTTTATTCTCCGGAGTATTTCTGCTCTTACTTGAGTAAAAGTGTGGTTACTTAACTTAGCAAAAAGTAGTAAACCTAAAGTATACTAAATTGGGACATTTTTAAGTTTACTAAAGTATACTTTAGTAAACTCTGCTAATTACTCAGTTTTATTCCCTTTAAATTAAAACAGCGGTTTCGTAACTCAAGTGTTTCCCCTTTTTAAAAGCTGAACAAAGAAAAGTAAATTGCAATAAACTAAATCTAGCAATAAATTAACCAACAACCGCCTTTAAATCAACAAATCAAAATCCCCAAAGGGTAAATATTTTAGCTCTAGCTTTTAATGTGTAACAAAGTCCATCATTGCTATCAATACATTTTTTAAACCTATAAAAGTTCATTTCTTTCTACCAGTCTCCCCATGAAATTACATGCAATCTCCTTTAGAGGGCGTAACCCCCACTTAGAGAAACAAATTTAAGCTACTTTATTGGTAGATAATCAGCAGCAGTTAATTAGTCAGGCTACAGTCAGATTAATGGCTTTAGTTTTTGTCAACTTTCTATCTTTTTTTTTTTTTTACCTCCATCATACGATCACTGGCTCAGAGATACACGGTATTTTATTAAACTTGAAAATCTGTATACTTTAAGAGGCTCTTCTGCAAGATTTCTGGGTTTGTGGAGCCCCTTATTGAAAGTCCTTAGAAAGATTAATTTACTCACTATCCCCGACTGATGAGGGGAAATGTATGTAGCTGTTATGTATTATTCTTAGCAATATCTTTTTTTTTGCTCTTCTTTTATCTTCTGTCTTGATTTTAGTTTGTCTGACACATCAACAGCAGTGTCCCATGACACCTGAGGAAAACTTTTTTTTTTTGGGTGCCCATAGTGATTGTGGAAAACATTAACATGGTTTTAATACTGTGGTTCTTTTTACTTTAATTATTTGTCTTCTTTCCACCTCTCATTATGTTCACCTGGCTTGATCCCTGTTTGTATTTATTTATTTAATTATTATTATCTTTTTTTTTTTTTGTATTCTGTATGGGAGTATATAATGTGGGTATATTGGGGTTTGTTCTAGCCCAATTATGTTTATATGTTAAAGGTACATTGTTATCTATATAACTTTATATGTCTTTATATTGTACCACATGTTGGGGGAAAAAAACGTTCTACAGTATCTTCAGCCCTAATTTTGTAGTTAAGGAAAGAGTAAAGTCACCTCTCTTCAACCATCTGTGTGTCAGTTTGCAGCGGTAAGTTAAGAAAAGACCTTAGGCTCTTCAAAATATGGAACTTAGCTTACATAAAAAACTACGATGAGATGTTCTAGCGCTTTTAAATCGAAGCTTTGGACTTTGGGGTTACTTTTTAGCCAGAACACTAAAGATGGGTTGCTAAATGTGTGCATGTTTATAAGGATAATCGATTTAATCCATCTTTATTTGTATACTGCAAATTCTGTTTTTCTATTGGAAGTTTTAAAGCTGAGTAAAAAGTAGAAGTAGTAAAAAGTTAAAGAAAAGGAAAAAAAAAAGCTGCTTGTGAACAAGGCCAAATATCTACCTGTAACAACACTGTAATCAAGCATGTTTTTCAAGGCAACACCTGCGATAAAAGCAGGTTTTCTTTTAGATTCCAATGAAATGAAGCACCAGAAACAACCTGAAGGATCAATAACCGTCTGACTTCTTTAAAGAAATAGTATTTCACAGCAGCTTCCTGCAGAAACGAAAAGCCTTCATGGTTCGATCGCCTCTGCCTTACGGACGCAAACCTCGTCTGAAGTGATCGGGCTGATCCATCAGCAGCTGGATTTCTCTAGCCGTGACCTCAGGAAGGTCAGGTCCTGCAAAGTCCTGCCACAAAAAAAAAAAACAATAAAGATTAAAACGTGATAATACGTCACCATGTGTTTCCTGCAAAAATAAAGCTGGAGGAAAGGCAGGAACAACTTGTCAGTTTGAGTGCAGCCTGATTTAATTAAGTCAGATCTCATTAAGGCAAAATGAACTTCATCAGCTGAGGACGCTTCAGGACGAACATTATCTGCCTCTGAGTGACAGAATGAGGAGGCAGAGCTGAGGTACCACCATCTACAGTCTGTTAATCACAGCATCCTGATCTGCCTGCTGTTACGCACCGCAGAGAGGCCAAACTGACGCCCCATTAAATGTATTTAAAGTTTGCCATCAATTTCCCTGCATGAAATGAATCCTTATGTCCTGAACTGAACATGATGTGAAGGACATTTCCCGTCATGGGATAACACAGCGAGAATCTACATGCGTTAAACGTGGACGTCTGATTCATGGGGACGCCTGCTGCCTTTAAAAATGATGACTGGGGTTGTTCCTGAAGCCGAACCCTGACAGAGTGTTTACCTCAGCAGCGTTGATGACAAACTGCTCCTTCTCCGTTAGCGTGATGGCGGCCGCAGGCAGGCTGAGATCTAGTTAGGGACAAGCAGAACCATGAGGTCCGAAAACAAAACAGAGCTGTCACACAGGAAGGGGGATGATGCATGAATCAGCTCTGGTAGTGAAAAGAGATGTTGTTATCGGATGCAGACTCATTTATAGGCCAAACATATGCACCACCAGTTATAGCTCATCTGAAGCCCACTCTACAAACTGAAATAAGCTTTTTTTTTTAAGCCGTACATTGAAAATTCGCCAGAAGGCAACAATTTAACAAAGAAAAATATATATAATTCCTCTTGGTGCAGCTCTAAGGGTTGAGATTA